GCTCTGCTCCATCATGGGCTGGCCATAATGTCAATGTTATTTCAGAGCTGACTCCAGGGAAAATCTCTCCCTGGTGCTGCTGGAATTTGGAATTCCAGGCTTTGTTCTGCTGGAGGGGAGGCAAACCCAGCCCTTTCCTTCTGTAAAGGTTCTTTAAACGAGGGAGTGGGAGCAGAGCTGAGCTGGCTCGGGGCATTCCCGTGTCCTGGAATTGGTTTGGGGATGTCCAGGGCAGCAGGAGGCAGAACAGGGAGCACCTCCCGTGATTTGGGGTGTCCTGAACTTGCCCCGGTGCCCCAGGCGGGGCTGGGTGGGATTTTGGGAAGGAATTTCCGCTGGGAGGGTGGGGAGGGGCTGGGCTGGGATTCCCCAGGGATGTCCTGGATCCCTGGCAGTGTCCCAGGCCGGGCTGGGCATTGGGGTTGGAGCTGTCCCTGCCGGGGGCTGGTGGCACTGGGGGACCTTTAATGTCCCTCCCAACCATTGCTTTGGGTGACATTCCCCTCCCGTTAATCCTTTAAAGATGTCATACAAAGCACAATCCACAGACTCCATTTTTTTTTTTCTTTTTCCCTTTGCATGGAATATTTTTTTTCCCCCCCTTGTCCTTCCCTGCTGCATTTCCTGCTCTCCCTTTGCCCAGGCTGCTGCTCCCAGGGTTTTGTTAATGATTTTAACCCAATTAACCCTCGGGATTAAAGCCTGATTACCCCGCACATCCTCAGGAAATCCAACATTCCCTGGCAGGGCGAGCAATGAACCAAAAGGATTCAGGAGCTTCATCCCTGCTCGTTTGGGGCTTTGCTGGGGGATTCATCTGCATTTTTGTGTCTTCAGGTAGAAAACGCAGTTTGGATTTCATTAGGATTTCATTAGGATTTAATTAGGATTTAATTCCATTTCCAGGATTGCTGCTGTGATCCCTGTCCGAGCTGGAAGCAGAAATTTGGATTTCCAGGAGAAGTGTGATGGATTCCATCATGTGGTTCCACATTCTGGAATTTTATTTCCTTCTGGTTTTTGGTCATTTCAGGGTAAACACGAGGATTTAATCTGCCAGGTATCAAAAATTTTGGATTTGGTTGTGGTCAAATATTCCAAAGGGAAAAGCAGGAGCTGGAAACAGAAATTTGGATTTCCAGGGCACTGTGATGGATTCCATCCTGTGGTTCCACATTCTGGAATTTTATTTCCTTCTGTTTTTTGGTCATTTCAGGGTAAACACGAGGATTTAATCTGCCAGGTATCAAAAATTTTGGATTTGGTTGTGGTGAAATAATCCAGAGGGAAAAGCAGGAGCTGGGAGCAGAAATTTGGATTTCTGGGGGCTGGGAGCGATTCCAGGCTGGAATTTTGTTTCCCGTGGATTTTGGT